GTATACGGTGGTGTTGTGAATTCACAATGTTATTTCTCATGGAAGTGTTGCGCCGATGAGATTAGAATTGGACTACCATACTTGAAAATAGATCAGATGTTGAATTACATTAACTATTCATCCTGTAATGTAATATTTTCTCTGGACGTTTATAGAACATCACTTTACAATTCTTCTAAGATATGAAATACACAAACTTTCAGACTGGTTATGGGCAAAAAGAACAAAAGGGCTGAGGCGAAATGGGTGGCTTCGTGTGTGTTTATGTCAAGGCAATGGCATAGGGGGCTTCCAATTTGAGAATTCGACCAACTGTCTATTTACAAGAGATCCATTGTGCAACCAAAATGTTTCAGTTGATTGGTGAAACTGCCTAACTTTTCTCTGAAGTTCCCACAGAATTCCCTGCATGGTAGAGCATGGTGCAGATTCTGAGACGAAAACCCACAGGCACCTCACTCGTCTACCTCGAGCTATCATCTCTTCTATGGCTGCATCTGCAAGAGGGAAAGAGAGAGCCGAGATTCGGCTGTAAGTTTTAAGACAATAGAAGGTACGCATAGGATGTAACTGGTGAGTGAATTAACCTGGAATTGACTCCAGATACTCCAACAGTTGAGGGCCTATTTCATTTGATGGCCATTTTATTGAGATCTGAGAGTAGTCAATTACATTCTGGAAAGGCAATTCAACCTGATCCGATAGTATAACTGGAACACACTCCTGTAGAACAGAGCATGATATTATCCTGATTACGAGTTCGTCTCTTAAGCTAAGTGCGTATGTGTGTGAGGGAGAGAGACATACCACAAAAAATGACTCGTAAAAACGAAGTGTCCAAGACGACTCTCCACGTGGAGCAAGACAGAATTTTGCATTGCGCAGGTGCTCAAAATACTCCAACTTTCCCAATTTGTCAGGACCACTGAACTTTAAAACTGGAGATTCCAACTGTTTGGGATATCATATCCATTTTTGGTATATTTCTCAATATTAGATTACTAGAAATGGGAGTTTTCATTACCCCATATTTGTGAGACTCCATTCAGTAAATGAGGCAAGTTAAAGAAAACAACGTACCTTTTCAGGAAATTGTTTTGCAAGTTCTATCAACTTTAGACGACCAACTTTTCCTTGATCGCGTCCTAAATAGTTTGCCAAGTACTTCCTTTTAGATAAAGGCAAAGGCTGGACTATGTTAGCTCCATGTGAAGTCATACCATCATCAACGTTGCCAGGAATGATGATATCTTTCCATGTATTGAAAGCACTAATGTCTTTCTTATCTGTCCGATCCCCCTATACTAACAGGAAAAAATATTTTATAATTATTATTTTAGAAATAGTTACAAGAAAAGTCAAGAAAATTGAAGTTAATAACTTAATATAAGGCTTAACTACCATCCAACCAAAACAAATTACCAACCAAAACAAATTAGAGTATTGACATTGTTAGCATAATGGTACAACGAAAATAACTGGTTTTCATTTGCCGAAAATCTATCAAATTTTTCTTGCTGAATTAAATCTCAGGTACAATTATGCAATATGTTTAATTCCAAATGCAACCAGTCAAATTTTCCAGATATGAGTCACTTATTGCCATTAATGTAAGGTTGCAATTTGGAGAGTACAATTGCCACAGGAGACATTTGATTACTTTATTACATAAATATCAATATCTCAAGCACAACATCTTATGAAATTTTTTATACCTCTGGAGTAAGTATTATGGAACGATTTATGTAAGTCGCCCAAGATTTAAATAAGTGAGCTCCTGCACCACTGCAATTGGGTAGCACGAGTGTAAGCAATAAAAGTTGGAAGCAGTACTTCTGAAATTTGCACAAAAAATATGTTACAACAATACCAAGAAATTAGCCTATTCTTGCTCAAAGTGAAATTTGAGCAAACTATCAAAACTGAGACTAATAGCTATATGTTGAATACTTAAAATTTGTTCGTTAACAGGCTCATAATCGACCCCTAGTGTTGTTCATTTCCACAAATATCTAATTACATAAACTACTAGAACAAAAACCTTATACCTTGGGAAAACAAATATGTGGTCACGACCCCCTGAGAGCCTGAAATATGGCATTTGACTTAAAACCTGGAAGGTTGACAAAATTAGCACAATATGCAATATGATTAGCCTTTTCTCGACCCATAACTACAGGAAACATCACTAAGACAGTGTAACCATTTTAGCCTATACTTCACAATATCAAGCAACAATAAGCGGACAGTACCTGTACATATGCTTGGTTAATCTCCTTGTCATTCAGACCACCTAGCATCCTAACACATTTAACATAAGCTGGCACAAAGAAAAAATCTGCTTCTTCTTTCTTTCTTGTTCGAAATCTTGACTGTAGGAGTAATCTGTGAATTTTCACCTGCAATTCACCATCACATAATATAGAAAACAAGATGATTGTCAATGACAAATTCTACAAAAGATGCTGGTATCAAACAATTTTTTTTCTTTTTTTATAAAGTAAGAGGAAACAGTGACTAAGTGCCCTCCCTAACAAGCCCAATGACTCGCAAAAAAACTTCCAGACAATCAATCCAATCCCAAATCTCAATGACTTCTCTCACTCTAGCCCGAAAATCGTTTGTTTCCCCTCTTTACATAATTCCCACGAGATAGCACTGAACAAGAAAAGTTTAAGAGCGTTGGAATAATTCTTAATGTTTAAGGTAATATCGATTGAACTAAAAGTTTGTTAACACTTCATGGTAGATTTTTCAATCGGTGCTTCTTCGTAATCTCCATTGACATAAGTTGAGCGCATATTTATTCTTCCCCTTTCGTATTTTTCCTTTCAATGAATGTCACTGTCTCCATAAAATATATTAAAAGAATGTGCTCAATAAGAAACAAAGTTAAGCATTACATCATAATGTTAAACAAAGAACTTCCTAAGTAATAGGTACAGCTCAAACTTCCGCTGTTTTTCATTTCCCACCGTTCTCTTACAAGCAAAAACAAAAAATCAAAATCAAGCCTATACACACATTCATAGGATGAAAATGGTCAAGTGTATGAACAGTAAGCAGCAGCTAAACATAATAATCTCAATAGAGGGAGGATAAACAGTTTCAGAACTTGAAATTGGATAAGTCAAATAATGGAGTTAGAAAACAAAATTACCTGAGTGCCCCATTGGCCTTTCAAACAAGCAGCAGCCGTGATCTTCCCGTCCCTCCCGTACATCAAAGCTTTGAGCCCCTGAATTTCGTTCTCTTCATAGACGTAAATCTTGAGAGAGAGATGCGAACCATACCCTCTCTCCGGCCACGATACGGATCCATCGTCGTTGGATTCGACGGCATAGTGTGACTGACGGGCACGACCATTTAACAAGTTATGAGCGGAGGGAGCGAGCAATCGATCGAAGGCGCGGGTAAGGAAGAAGGTGGTGCAGACTAATAGCAGCGCCCCGATCTGATGGGTTCTTGTGCATAGTGGAGGATTATGGTGAGCTCCGAATTGTCTCCCTTTGTTGTTCACGCTTCCCATCCTTCGTCTTCCTCGCTCTCACACTCTCCTCCCTCCAATGGACGACACAAGTTCAGAATTTTTGAAGGGTTTCTGAAAATTATAGCCTGAAAGTGAAAACTATTCAATTCAAGGTAGAAGTTCGATCCACCCTCACTGAACCTTTCTTCATTTCACCTCTCAAAACTCAAAAACTATTTTTAATTTGGTAAAATTATAATTTTGGTCTTTTATTTTTTTTCTTATTCCTATACCTTTTTGGATTTATTTTTTTTTATATATTTATTCTATGAGCTCAACTCCGCCATAAATACAAGCATATGAATTTCATCCTTTAACCTCATAATCAATGATGTTAGTTTTATAAGTTGGATTTATTAATTTTTTTAGTTCGATAACATATGAGATTTTACGAATGTCCTTAACTAATTAAACTATGTTCGAATGATAAGTTTATTGGATTTGGTAACCAATTTTATTGTTGTTCATATTTACCTGATATCTAGTATCATTTTCAAATGTCTTGACTTCTTAACCAAATATATCAATTGATTTTATAATAACAACGATATAATTTTAGTTAAAATGGCAAGTAATAAACAATTAACTAGTACGTTGTGAAAGTTGTGTTTTAAAATTTTAAAGGTAATTTCAAAATTTGACTAAACCTAGCCGGCTCAATTGGTGTTTAACCATACTTGTTGATCACTTCAATATTGGTAACTAATTTTATCTTTAACAATTATTTTAACGTAAACATAACTCAATTGGTTAACACATATATATGTCAATCGGAAAGGAACTCCCACCCACACATGCACACATGCTATGTAATTGTATAGGAAAAAAACCCTATTATTATAGTTTACTTATATATACAATGAGTGATCGGTATAAAAATCATCTATATTGTCATAAATTTAAAACTCACCTTATAATATATGTTTGACAATTAATTTGTATGCCCAATCTAATATACACTACTCGTATTTTTTCAAATAAGCGTTGAACAGAATATACCTTTAAAACAAGTAAAATGTAAAAACAAGTAAGTCAGATTAAGAAATTATTTCGTACCAAGACGATGTCAATTGTAAAATAAAATAATAAGAAAAAAAATCAAATTACCACTCAGTTAAGCTAACTAAGGAGAATATATATTTAATTTAGTAATTTTTCATTTTGTCAAATAAAATATTTGAAGAACATCACTTTTTTATTCTTTTAATTCCTGGAAAATATCACTCTTCTTGATTCAAATTTACGAGATTATCAATGCGTTAACCAAAATTAAGTTTAAATTGACTAGAAATGTTAAAAATAAGAGGAATTTAGATTTCAGTATAAAAACTGCGGTGTACATATATATTTACATATGGGCCGTCTTAAAACGTTAATAGACCCGCCAACTCTTTCCCAAGTTCACAGCCTTTCTCTCGTTCCAGTAACTCGCCCTAGGGCATAGTTGAGCTTGCGAATTTCCGTTGCAGAGATGCCTCGTCGCAGGGATGACGACGACGACGACATTGACGCCGACGAGGAAGAGTACGAGGACGATATGGAACAGCCCCTCGACGACGACGACGACGAAGAGGAAGATCGGTCGAGTAGGAAGCGGAGGAGATCAGATTTCATAGACGATGTTGCGGAGGAGGATGAGGATGAGGAGGAAGAAGAGGATGACGAGGATGAGGTTTATGGTGGCGGTGGTCGGAGGGGGCGTGGTGCTAAGAGGCCCAACGATGGTGCTAAGTTTTTGGACATTGAGGCTGAGGTCGATAGCGACGACGATGAAGAGGAGGACGACGCAGAGGACGGTATTTTTCACATAATTTGCTCTATTTTCTTATAGGTCCAATTAGTTCAAATTTGATGGAAATTGGATTAGCGTACAAATTGGAGTGCGTTTAGGGTTTTTCTCTTGTCCATTTCATTATTATGTGTTCAGTTTAGTGGTTATAAATGGTTGATGATATAAGCTTTTACTGAATGGGACATTTCCTCATTAGCACATTCGGGCAATCCAATTGAACGTAGAATTTGGATGGTTATTTAGGAGTTCGATTGCGAGTTTCAGAGATTGAGAAGTATTTCGGTACTACGTAATTTGTGCCTCGAGGTTTGGTTATTTGAATGGGAATTTGATGTGTAACTAATTTTTTTTTCAGTAATTTGGTGAAGTGGCTGTAAGTCACTTTATAAAATTTACTCTTAACGAGAAACAAACTCTTAATTGACACATGAAAAATAAAAATTTATATCATTAAATTATTACTCCCTTTAGGCCGCATAAAAAGAGAATCTACCTAGCACAAAAATTGTAGCTTACAAGACGAGAATACAAACTTGAACCCTCATAGGAGTTTACAAAAAGACACCCTTACGTTAATTAAGTTCACGAGGACAATAATTGTGATATGTTCTAGATGAGGCAAACCAATAAGAGGCTCGAAATTTAGCTACATCCATCCTTTCTCCCCACAAAATAAACTTTCCTTCAAATGATTGCTTTAATGGCATTAATCCACGTAAGCTTAGCATTACTTTTGAGCTCCACACTGCAAAGTAATTGTAATATGTTGTCCTTGAAGCATTTATCAAACGCTCACGAACTATCAAAATTTATAAGGAGATGTTCCCATTATTTTTTATCTATGAGCCATAAAAAAGGGTGTGAACCATGTGGTTCATCCTTATCTGCCTTCATACAAAGAACACAAGAAGTTGGGCATAGGGTTGCTTACTTATTTTTGCCGTGTTAATGCCATTCAACTGTAGAATCCACGACAAAGCATTCCCATTTTTTAGACCTTTCAATATCCAGCAAACATTCCTTTAAGTCTTGATATTATAAGTGAATTCTTGAGTACTTCAACCAAAGATTTATTGAAACCATAGCTGACCGACCCAACTTTCACTCCTATCAAGAGTTATCCAATCAATTATTTCAATTGGATCTGGAGCTTTGATCTTCTCTAATTTTTCTCTGTTGTAAAATTTATTCTCACAACCGCTCTGTGAGAATGGCTTTCTTCTTCCAAGTATTACAGACTGAAATGTTTTTGAATTGGAGTGCTGAAAGTTGGCTATCCACTTAAGTATCATTCCGAAAAGGTCTCCTTCCAGTACCAATGCTAATGACCTAAGTTTTTATATATGGAAACAACTTATGAAATGTTCCACCAAGAATTCCTTGCATTGCCACATTTTCTCCCTTTTTGTAGTACTACCATTCTCATCCTTCCCATAAATGATATTCACCACCTTATGCCAGAACTCATGAGGTTCTTTTGTGAATATTCGACATCATTTAGCTAAATGAGCTTCAATTTTCTTCCTCAAGCCTCCACATTCCACGGGCTTGGAAACAGTATCTCATCTTACTAACTGTTTTAATTTCCCTCCTCCACGACCTTCCCAAAACCCACGATGTCTTCCGCTCGTTCTCAAGAACTATTATCCTTGCCAGGAGAAATAAGGACATAGAATACAAAGGCAAATCTGAGAAAACTAAATTTCAAAGAGTTAACTCCCCTTTATTTTGAAAGATAAAAGATCTTCCATCTTCTCAAAGTTTTGAACATCTTCTCTCCTATTTGGGTTTCATAATTATAACTTTCTTGGATGTCCCCTTACGATATCCCCAAACCAGACATGGGAAGTGCCATCTTCACGTGTAATCTTCAAGGGTTAGTGCTGGGAGCTTTCCATCAAACTGCTGGTTTTCTTTTTACCTAGGGTGACTAGGAGTAGGTTTTCTGTGGGAGCACTACAATTTGGGGGTTTAAGAATACAGGATACTTTGGTTCAGTAATCTTAATGCTTGGGACCATTGATAGTAACCTATGAAGTTACTACCAATTTTCATGTGAATGTACATTATAAATAATACAATTTAT